TTTTTTAATTTCAGTTCTTATTCATCATATGTTTTCCATAAAAGTATAATATTTCAATATTATGTGAAGCAAAAAACTTTAAAATTTCTGCTATGGCAGAAATTTTTTTTAACATTTTCCTTGAGTTTTCCTTTGCAATTAATTCTCTCCAAAAAGGGATGGTTTATAAAATATATGGGCTGAAATAATATAAAAATTCTATTATTCTTAAGAAAAATATGTAGTTAATATTCTAAAATGGTATTTTATGTTATTTAAGCAATTAATAATAATTCTTTAAGAATTATAAACTTTAGTTTTCTCAGTTGTGTTTTTTCGTATTCAAAATGCTTCTCCTTCCACAATTATTCACCAATAATAACTTCCATTTTTCCCTGTGTTTTATATATAATGCATGTAAAAAATTAGGGATTCATTTTGCAGTAATGCTTTTTTTAAAAAGAATTTAAAGTGTAGAAAAAATATTTTGGCTTTTTTGTTGAATGTTAGCATACGTATCAAGAGATTTTATTTTTTTTCTCCAAAACTAATTAAGTTATGGTAAAATCGATCTTAAAGTTGCTTAAAATATTCTTAACAATATTATATATACAAAAAAAATTTCCGGTCAAAAAATTTATAAATACAAAAGAAGTATTATTTTAAATGTTCCATATATTTTTTTAAAAAATGTTTAATTTTTAAAATTGAATGAATAATATGTACAAAATTTAATATCGTATCATTTTCTCGAATAGAAACATTACAAATAAAATGCTAAAATACAACTTTTAAGTACATAAATAAAAAAAATTGGTCAAAAGGTGCCAAGTTCTCTTAATGCTTCAGAAAGACCCTTTAAGAATTAATGCTTCAGAACATGAGATCTGGAGTAATGATTATTATCCAGAGTTCTCTGCTGTACCCAATGGCGCCGAGACGTATTACAGGGGTTTCGCCAGCTATTCGAATGATTAACATTTAAAAGAAATAAAGGTGAACAATAGAAGGGAAAGAACAATGTTGTGTCTGGAAGAACCGGTTGGCTGGAATTAAGGTGACACTATAAGCTATTCGGGAGCTTTTATCTCATAGTTTTGATGTGTAATAGAGACCTCGTATTTTGAATCACGATCAAATGATGGAAATGACACTAAAGCTGATCATCTTAGACAGGGAATTTTGATTTACGCGAGATTTTAATTTAAAATTATCCGACTACGTTCCGGAACCGTGATTTTTCAAAAGTGTTTAAATGGATAATATTTATGATATTTAGTGTCACTTAGATTAGAAAATGTATATAAAATTGTTTTAAGAATATTATTTTAACAATAAATTATTTAAGTACAATATTTTTGACAAAAAAATGAGCAATAGAATATTACATTTCAAAATAGTCTCCTTTTATGAAAAATACTTCCTATTATAATAAAATTTTGCCTGTGTATAGCTCAGACTTCTGTGCAGAGGCTCAACTAGAATTTTTGAAATATATAACTTAGAAGTGGGTTTTATCCATGTTTTGCGACACAACAGAGGAGAATTTCAAGAAAAAACGTCGATAATTATTTCAATGGGTTGTAAATCTGAAAATAGTAATGAATTTTTTCAAAATCATAGTTGAGCCTCTGTACGAGGTCTAGAATATATACAGGCACACAAAATATTGTTATAATAGAAGCATTTTTTCACAAAGAACATTTTTGAAAAAGGTTATTCTAAGTTAATTTTTGCCGAAATATTGTATTTAAATAATAATTTTTTTGTCAAAAATGTATATATATAAAAAACAATTTTATGCATGTGAATTCTAATCTAAGTGACACCCAAATATCATGAAAAATTAACTATCTAATTTAATGTCTTTTAAAATCACGAGTTCCCCTAACACGTAGTCGGATACCGCTAAAATTTCAAAATTTTTTTGTTTCCTCCTATGTGCGTATACTATGTAAAACAAGTTGTGTGCTCAAAATTTCATAAAAAGCTAGCCATTTAATTTTTTTAAGGAGAAAACTTAAAATTTTTGTGGTGATTTTAAAATGCTACTCCTCTTACAAAAATTTACGTACACGCATGAAATTTTATTTATCTGTACGTCAAACAATGTATAGCAAAAGTTGGTATGGGTTTTGCGATAACATGATTGGTATTCGTACAATGCTTCCTTTTATGAATGCATATCGAAAATTCTTTAAAAAAATGTATAAATTCTGAGTTCAATTATTTTTAAAAAAATAAGTATTTCTTTGATTAGAAATGCATACCAACCTTTGATTCATGTACTATTAGCAATAGGTACAAAAAAATTCAAAACAGGCACAATAGAAAAAAAAGCCTTAGCATTTTAAATGAGGACAAACTAGTTATTTTATCTTTCTGAGATAAGTTAGTTTAAAGTTTTGTGATTTGCCATAGAGGGATGTGAATAAAAACGAACGTAAAATATATCATAATTCTGCGTTTTTTAAGTTTAGAGCTTTCAAATTTTGTGAGGTTTTAGAGAGAGAGAGAGAGAGAGAAAAAAATTCACATAAAAAATAATTTAGACTAAAAAAATTAGATTTGATTTTTTGACCGATTTTTGGCAATTGAATCGTACTGTGTCCCCTTAATTGTCCGCACTACTCCCAGGGATGAGTTAGAGAGGGTCAGTTCTGTTTTAATCTGTTGTATCACATAATACATTATATTGCGGCTTACATTAATAAATCAAAATGTTTGACAATTTTTTGTGTGTGCACAAACCGTTTTCTAATCCTCAGCTTAATGTTTTTATTTAATTCCATATATCTATATGTAAATAATTATTTTCGAAAAAAAGAAAAATACATTTTTAAGCATAAATTATCAATGTCAGCGGTGTACACTGGAATTTTTCAGGAGTGGTGGTGGGGGGGTCAGGATCGTAGAAAAATTTTTACCATTCTCGTATCATGCTCCAATAAGCCACCCAACATGTTCTTTGGATTTTGTCGATTTTCAGGAACAAAAAGCAGTAAAAAAATAATTATTAAATAAATAATTAGCATTAATTAATAAATTAATTTTTAATAACAAATACTTTATTAAATTGTACGTACTGTATACATTGGATTAGAATCAATCGGGAAAAAAATCAAGGGCTTTGGGGGGGAACCGGACCTGCCCCCTCTTGTGAGCGCCAATGGAATCAATATCATAGCATATTATTTTCTTTTGGATAGAACTTTTACAAATCAACAGTTTCATAATTTTGATGTCGAAAGAATTCCTTACAGGAAACTGACTAATAACAAGTCTCGAGTCACAGTTTCAAGTCCTGTGCCACTGAAGCCCCGTCGTGTAGAGACGCTTACGAACGTTAAAGCTCTCATGCCGAAAATTCTTGAAATTGATGTGGAAATTATATGGGAGTGAGGGGTGCCGTCGTCGTCCTCATCATCATTTGACCGTGATTCAAAATTACAAGGTCCGTTACCAATAAATTTCGTGTTGTTGCTATTAAGAGCGCAAGGTTAACAAGCACTCGCTCAGAACTTTGGATCAGAAATAGAGTACCGGTAGTGTACAATAGAACAAAGAAACAAACAAAACTGCTAATTAAGTTGAGTACACTGCACACGTAGATGCAACCTGGAACGGTGGTCGCGGAAGCCTAGTGGTCAAGATTATGGACTCGCGGCTGGCATGTCATGAGTTCGAGCCTAGAGCCGCTGAAGACCCACCGGGCAGAGAGGGTCGCAGCACATTAAATCTATCGAGGCCCAAACGTCCTCCCGTGTGGTGTGTAAGTTAGAAGTGGGGGTTCCAGCCTAGGTGACGTCTTCGTCACTTCACCATGGTTCCAAGTTACGAGGTCCGTCACCAATAATTCTCGTGCAGCATTATAGTGCGACGTTAATATAACTCTCACTCTCTCAAGCAATCTAGTACATTATAGATCACTCTAGATAAGGCCATTTATCCTCCTAGATATCCTTTAGTTGTTGCCCAATATCCTGTATAACTCAATCAAATGGACATTAGTAGCATTGCAATTGGTAAATGAAAAAGCTGCACGTTCATTAGAAAATAAAGCTGTAGTGCTTCAACTTGACTATTGGGAAGATATTTAAATGCAATGATATTTATATAGCTCCTAATTCCATTGTGGTATAATTTGTTGAAAATGTTTTAGCTATGTACCTCCTTTATTTTAAATTGTGACTAACTTTTCCCAAATTTTATTTGTTTAGTAGTTTTCCTTAATTTGAGTATAGAACCGAAAGGTTCCCTAAGAAATCGAATCCAAGGTTCAAGTAAATTTCCGATATGCAAAGCCAAGCGTTGCCATTCTGCACGAAGTTAAAAAACGATACATCGGTGCCATTTCATGCCGAAACAATCGGTTCTTTAAGAACTGGCAAAAAGGCTTCTTTAATAGATGTGACTAAGATAGCTGCAATGTAACTAAACAAGCGTTGCACTGGCTGTTGTGTAAGAAGAATAATTTTTTAGCTTCTGGAGTTCTGCCTAAGAGTCGGAATGCCGTCTCGAAAGACTCGAAGAGTGATTAGAACAACATCGGGGCTTGTTCAAGGTCGGATTGAGATGTCGGAGATAAGGATCTTCCCTCCCGATTTAATCATCTTGGATTTTTTTTCTTCATTAATCTACTTATATTAGGTTCTTCAGCGAGTTTCATTAGAAGCATACAATATATTTCCTGATGCGTGTATTTTAAATCCATTAAATAATTCTACCAGAAATAAGATAATTAAACAAGTAATATATATATATATATATATATATATATATATATATATATATAAATTTAAGTCACTTCCTACTAAGGTCAACAAAGAAAAGAATTTTTAGTTACTTTTTATTAAATAATTACAATTACTATATAAATACGTTTTTACACATGACAGAATCACAATATTAAGTAGCAAATAGAAAGATACTTTCCATTTTCCTTTCTACATATGATGTTGGACTATTATTTTTGTTCTTTACTATTAATTCATTAATTAAATTTAACTCAGAAATTAGACCATCCCAAGTGGGATTCGAAATCATTTGGATTAGAAGTCCAACGCGCTACCCATTGCGCTACAGGGACCTGTAACGCTTAATACCTGCACTGCAGGGACACAACGAGCGAGAGATTTTCCTTTATATATATAGAGTTGGATTATTATTTGTTTCTATTTATTCACTAATTAAATAGAATTAATGAATAAATATTTGAAAAAACTGTATTAACTTCAAGTGTCATCCACTTCAAGTTTAAAAAATTGTATTTGGATTTGAGTGGATGAATAAAAATTATTTCATTAACGATTCAAAATTTGAACAAGATATATATATATATATATATATATAAAAGAAGAAATATATATAGGAAGAGTATGAACTAATAATAGGAATTGAAGAAAGATTTCAGTTGTGGATTTTAATAATTTTCCTTTATGTAAAAATAAGTTATTTTGGTTTTTTTCACACGTTATAATATTCAATATGTTATTCAAGAGAAGTTTTGCGTAAGCATACAATCAATGGCTTACATAAAAGGGGAGTAGGGGTCAACATTCCCATAGATCAAGACATTTTTAATTTTCACCTCAGATGTTACTCTCGGCGCTTTCACATATTTGATTTTTAGAATGTTTTCCCCCTTCCCATAACAGAGGTCTGTGTGCACTACAGATGCTTCTGTATACAATGCATTATGTGTAAGCATACAATACAGTTAAAACTTATGAATTATTAATAATTCGTTCCTAATTGTAATCTAGATTTTTATTAATATTTTTCATAACGCGATTTAAATTAATTTTTTAAAAATTAACATGCCATCAGAATGCTTTTCCCCTCCTCAACTGAATAGCTACGGTTTGTAAATTAAATCTCACCAACGATAGCGTAAGTTAAAAGAACAAAAAAATGGGACATGGTAGACCAGGGGCGTAGGTACCGCCGTATTAGCAGTATCGATGATACGGGGCCCCCAAGCTACAGGGTCCCCAACATGTGTAACTACAATCTCGCTAACAGGGCTCCTATATCTACAAAAGGGCCCCGAAGTAATTTTGATACAGGGCCCGCTCAGGACTAGCTACGCCAATGTGTTAAACCCAAATTGACCTTACATGGCACTATGAGGAAATCTGAAAAATTAGATATTGTTTGTTATAGATATATAACGTGAGGTTCAAAACAACATGATCTATAATTTCGTGTTATTTTAAATCTACGTTTTATCAGTAGAATGAAACTATTCTGCATCTTCCCTTGGAGCCATCTATTGTAAATTACTTGTATTTATGAGGTATGAAAGCCTGCTCTATAAGCTAATTTAAAAATAAATATTACTGTTATAAGCTTTATAAATTTAACGAGCGAAAGAATAAATATTCTCGTTATACTCGTATGCTCTATTGTCTTTTAACATATTAGAATAGTTTATTATTTATATGAGTTAAAAAGGATATAATAAGTTATGCATAAGAAGAAATAGCTCGATAAATGAAAGAATAACTAAGCGAATACACTCACATATAGGATCGAAAATTCTAGAACATTTCAGGTCTAATGAAAATTAACTATATCCACTTGCAATTTTTACAAGTTTAAACGACACCAGAAATTATAGTTTACCAGTAAAAATCATTAAAAAACGAAACGAATTATAAGATAGTTAAGACATTTATCTTGTTTTTTATTACGATTAAAACTATGTTTCTTCTTTCTTTTGTGACTTGGAAATTACTCAAAGACGGTCATTTATTTTCTTTTTTCTCAATTTTTTTCTAATGACTTTATATACAAGAGCGCCATTTTTATTTTTACGGCTTCGTGCAAGATTTATCTAGAATATCCAATGTTTCAAGTAACAAATTATTTAGACCAGAAATATTTTCGACACTTCGTTTCTAATGCATTTTCTGAATGACATAAACTTATTATGTCAGGGTGTTTGTCTATAAGATGTTTCGAATGTATTGAGATTACAATGTCGAAGGGGGAGGGGAAACCACATTCAACCCATAATGAATCCTACCTGGAAAGTGACGATGTCTCCGTCCGTGGCGTCTGTTTCAGGTGGAAGCATCTGGAGGAAGCAAGGTGGAGCGGCCATTTTTGCTTAGGAACTGAAAATTGAACAAAAAAATCATAATTAGATGCTATAATAAGGTTAATGATTTAAATTTTGTTCTAAACTCTGAAAATTTAGCTCACATGAACACCACAAAAAAGAATAAGTAAAAAGTTATAAATAAAGAATAGTAACTTGATTGGTGAAGTTCAACTTATTCAACTGCTGAACTTATTTTTACCGCTATAAGTCATGAAAATCATGTACATAATATGCAGTATTACCTTAATAAAATAAATATACACACTTCGTAATTAATAAATTTGAAACAAAAAATTTACAGTACCAATACGTGTTTCTTAAATTAAACTTTTAAACTTTAAAAAGAATCGTATTCCAAAGATTATACAGTAGCATTTTTTAAAAATTAAATCGTCTTTATTTTTGATGGCGTTTACTAACGGTCACCTTATTTTAAAAAAAATAGGAGACCGCATTTATGAGACTCTCTGTTACATAAATAAAAAAAACGAATGAAAAAAATATTTTGCAATAATTCCAAAAATAAATGCATACATTTTGAAGGTCTTAACCCATTTATTGTCAAAAGGTAGAGATTTAGAGGTCTTGCCTGGGTGCTTGTAACATTTAAGAAGAGCTTATGAGATTTTACAAAATGTAATAATATGAAGGTACTGATATAATATTGTAATGCCATTTACAGTAATTTTTATTGAAACAAATAAATTATAGTTTTAAAAAAACTAAAAAACACGCTTTTATAGTGAATCTAACTAAAATGTAAAAAAATAATTCTTAATATAAGCGTGGGGTGCTCTATCGGAACAGAACTGGCTAAAGTACCATAACGCAATTAATATAGAGAGCACCCCACGCTTTTATCCCAATGACATTAATTTTCTCAATTTAAATGTTTGCCATTCTTGCTAGAATTATTTTTACTTTTTAGTTCGATTCACTATAAAGCACGTGTTCCCCCAGACACAAAACAACATCATTTACTCTTTGTTGGTACATCCTTGAGTTTGATATTTGGTAGATTGATTAATTGAATGTTAACGTCGCACTGTTTGAATGCGGGGCTTTTGGCGACGGACCACATGAGGTACGAACCATGGTCTGAAACGTGGACGAGCACTGAGCTGGCACCCTCTCTAACTACACACACCGGCAGGTGGTTTCAGCTCTCGACAGATTTAACGTGCATCTCTGCCCTACACGGTGGGTCTTTAGTGGTGCTGGGCTCGAACTCGTGACATGGGGGCCAGAATTATGTGGCTGCTGGAATTATTCTTGCTCTTTAATGGATATTAATTAATGGATCTGAAGGGTATTTATTCTCTCCGTTAACGGGGCCTCGGATTGCTATAATGTTAATTTGTATCATCACTTCTAAATGTATTGCTTTATAAAAATAAAAAAAAATATTTAGCAGTTAGAACATAAATTACTTTTATTCACATGCACGAGTCTTTTTTTTTTATTTCCATTTTCAGAAAAACTACGTACCCACCCACACTACCTTTTTCACATAAAGAACACTTTTATTTTGCTTTATTTTTTACTAACTAGAAGCCAATAGGGTCTTAGGGTTGGACCTTAATCTGGAATTAGTCGCCAAATCTAGAAATGGCATATGGAATTAGTCGCCAAATCTTAAAATGATTTATGCAATTAGTCCTTGTCCGTGACCATAATGAATTAGTAGCCAAATCTCATAAATCCTTAAAATCCTGTGACAAGCTCACGCTTTTTTTCATTAACATATCCTTTTGGGTTCTTTGGAGCCAGAATGAATGGCAACTCTTTTCCAACCAACCCAAGAAGTAAGGCGTGAAGGAAAGATGCAGATTAGGATGCTTTTAAATAACAGAAGTTTAGAGTAAGCTAGGTGGCATTTGGGAAATGTTATGTAAGTGCGTGTGGCAAGTGTGAAGAGTATTTCGCGAAGTGAGGTGACAGTCAAGAAGGAAGGTACTTGAACAGAGTGTGGTATTAGTCAAGGTGCATACCATTGCACGCCAGTGAACCGCAATTTCAACTAGGATCAGATAGATTGATACTTCGTTGGACCTGAAAGGTAGGAGTGACCATTTAAATATTCGGATCTGTGATTGCATTAGAACTGAGCTTAGGCGAGTTTGTTATTGATAGTGGTCCGGGTTACGTTATTTCGGAATTATATATATTGCGTGTTTCGCCACCGTAGATTCTCTCACATATCATATTATTATCTAATCTGTTATTGGTATAAGTTAAGATCTTAATAAAGTTATATTAAGATCATGGCAGCTTCTAGTACATTTATTCCTACACTTCCAGATTTCATTACATACACGTGAAACTTATAAAAGCCTGTTAAAAACACTACGAAATACCTCGTAGCTGGGGGGCGTCACTGAATAATATTCCTATACTGAGTGCCACTTATGAGTTATCTCTTAATGTTTTTTTTTTCAATAAAAATCTTCATATACAAAGACTTTCTTTTCATTTTGTTTGATTTTACAAGCTTGTCACCTAGTTTCATCCTGAGGTGACGAGTCGGATCAATAACCAATGGTGTAAAATGTCGAATTTCCATACAGATGTGCAATAAGTACTTTACCAGGAAAAACCTGTAAGGTGTTCGTAGTGAACATAACCATCCCTGTGATGACATGTCTTGCCGGTTCCACACATAAGCTAGAGGTGTGGGATTATCAAAATGATGAGACATAATTCTTAATACAACTTTTATTAAGAGTAACTTATATTACTTAGATTCTAATTTGACAAATATAATTAGAGTGAGAGTCAAGCCCAAATTAAATCACGTATTTAAGTCAGATCACGCAATTAGATCCTCTATCTCAATTATCCTAAATAATCCTGTTATCTAATTACTTATATCTAATATTACCTTTTCAGTTCTGGTCCTTGACCTAGAGAGATAATCCAACTATAACTTTATATATGAAGATTCTTGATCCACCAAGGTAGCTAATTCTTGATCCTCAAGT